CCAGGATTCATACACTACAGACGCAGCAACATCAAACCCTTCGTCATGCCCAAACCCACACTGATGTCGCGCACCAAGTAGGCGACGAAGTTCTTCTCTGGACGCCTTTACGATCTCTTGGGAAGAGCGATAAACTTCAAAAACGCTTCACTGGCCCCTTCAGGATCTTACGACGCCTCTCGTCCACCAACTACGAAGTTGCTCCAGTTTCGGCCCCTCGTGATCAGCGTTCAAGATCAACCGACATAGTGCACGTCGCGCGCATCAAGCCCTACTACCGCCAAGCACCATAAACACACGTGGAGGCGGTCCGGCACTTTCCTCACCGGGAGGGTAACTGTTAGGAAAGACGACGACGTGGCGCGAGTGGCGCGCTCAAGTGTCGGCCGCAGAGTGCCCGCGCGATTCGATTCAGACTGACTTCGCCTGGCTGCGCTGCGGCACTGACCGTCATCTACAATCCTCCGGTCATCTGATTAAACCTGCACATCATTGCCTCACAATATAAATAGTTATTTCCATCCATCCATCCAGCATTGAATGGTGACCGTCGCTAGAAAGATGTCACTACATTTCACAATCCCCGCCTGCTTATACTGTTTGTATCAGTTTACAACGTAAAAGTTTGATATGTACCGTACTCCTCTGCTGTGATGCTCCGGCACTGCAGAGTAGTACAAATGAATAACTAGATAATCACTCTGAACACGTGCATTTTTTCCGAAGTATATAGAGGCGGTTTATTATAAACAGTTGTTATATACTAACAGTGAAACACACCGTAACGACAAACTAACTTAACAGTGACGTCTGTTAGTCATGGCAAGTAACGACACCGGTATTTCGTTACGTTTGCAAAATGCTAACGGAATCCTGTAACGCGTTATTTTTTTTTTTTTTTTCAAGCTAACAAGTAACGCTATTTCGCTACTTATTTTCGGTAACGGGCAGAACACTATAGCCCGCGCTACTTTTTCTGCGTCTGGTGCAACCGCGTGAGCAAGGTCACATAGCACCTGGAAGGCCATTTCGAACTATATAAGCGACTCCTGCGTGTCTTGCATGAAGGCACGGAACTTGTCCGGCATCCGGGTATTGTAATCCGATGGCAGAAACGCCACTCTGAATCGCGAAACAAAATTTGCCATACTCTAAAATCTTGCTTTCCTCTCTGTCAAGCGCGCTACGCTATCAGTCAATGTTACCGACAAAGGGGAAGTTAGCACGGTTTTATTGTCTATTACCGACGCAACTTCGTAGTCCCGGAGTTCCGAAACAAACATAGCCAATGACTATCTATTTACGCCCCCTGAAAATACCGGAACGCTAAGCAAGAACCGTAGGTAGTACTTGGGGGGCGGGGTTCAAGCAGGAGAGGGCTCTAGCGCGTCATTTGCTAAAGTTCTACCTGAAGAAGCATGGTCATGAACATTCTTAGTTCTACTAGGCACCCCTCTGATGATGCGCCTGCTGGGACTGCGACTGTAGGCTTAGCGTCTGGTGTTTTGCCGTTGGCGGCGTCATCCACCGGCGACAATAAAGCAGGGTGTCAAATCGTCGTCGTCACTCGCGTTTTTGACGGTGTCTGCCGCAGACGACATCCTGTAGTAGTAAGGAATTCCGTAGATAAACAAAAAACAATCGAAGGAAAGAGAAAAAAAAAGCCCCGCCAATGCGGGAAAAAAACGCAAAATGACTATGTAAAAAGCAAAAACGTACCTAGTACTTTGCCATCCTCTCTGAGGAGCATTTCACGTCTGGGCGCCAGTGTAGGGTCGCTACCCGTATCAAAGAATGACACAACACACCGGATCTACAACAGGTGGACATTTCAAGGACATTTATTGATCGTTATCGCCCGAGTCGCGATCCCAAGAGCCTCCCAGCTTACGCAGGGACAAAGGCGACAGAAGTAATAAGACACTTGAAACAAAGGGACCACAGAGACTTCTTCTTTCAACTCGCAACAGATACAGTGAAACTCCTAGAGGGGTATTTTTGAACCCACCCCTGCCCAGAAGAAAAAAAAGAAAGAGAACAAAAAAAAATGATGTAGTAAATATAGGAAGCGAGCAAGCCGGCCGTGTCGCGGCGGTCGCCTATTGTTCGCCGCGACCTGGCGGCAGCCGCCGCAGGAGCATCGGGCAGCAATGGCGACGAACAGCACGGCGGACAGTGTCCCCGTCGTGATTACGACGGAATTTAAGGCAGTTAGGAGTTCGGAAAGTTCCCTCGGAAGCCGGTGCCGCCGGCTCAGAATCATCGCGAAGTAATAGCAACGAACAGCACAGAGGACATTGGGCGACTAAGAATCCGGAAAGCTTCTTCGGTAGCCGGTGCAGAATCATCGGGGAGAAGCTGTGGCGATTAGCCGCACAGCGTTCCCGGGGTGATAACGACGGGGTTTAAGGCGGTTCCGAATCCAGAAAGCTTCTTCCGTGGTGCCAATATGACGAAAACTGTTTCATGAATCTGGTCGCGTGTGCGACGTGAAGGAGGTATGTTTCGACGGACAAGTGGATGTCACGGAGCTCCGTACTCTGCAAACAAAATTAAGCGCCCCACAAAAAAAACTTGTTGGCGTTGAGTGGACTGCGGTAATTATGTACGTTTATTTCTGAATCAGCTTGACAATAACTGGGCGATTTTTTTCACGCCGTTCCGGGATTCTCTTTACTATCTTCCTGTAGGCTGATGGAAACATCCAACGGTAGGCTTAGGAGGGCGACCGCATTCCGCTTCTCGATTCCGGTGAAGTATTTGCTGCATACTTTAGAGTTTGCCGTCGGTGTCGATGCTGTTCCATCGTCGCTAGAAGAGAAAAAAAGTTAATTTTATTATTCGTCAGCAGCTTAAACAAAGCGCGAACTGGAAGGTAAGAAACACCTCTAACCTGTATGGACGCACAAGTCGTACCCAGGTCGCGTAGTACTCCGCCTCGTACGGCCTCGAAGGGACGATGTAGTACTTCGTGCCGTGCGCGATCTTGCCGACCACGCAGCAATCGTTGCGGCTTTCTTGGTGCGGAATAGCCATCTCAGAAATTACAGCGCTAACCCACTACAACGCACAACCAACGCAGCGACTGGCAGAAGATGCCCGATGCAACGGACCCGTTTGCCGCTAGGGGCGCCCTGGTCGGGGCGTGAATTAGATCCGCACGGTTCCTATAGTAAATACAGGATAAACGGGGACAAAAGGTTTGAAAGAAAAATTGTTGGATGATAGTTGAACTGCAATTATGCCAATTCCGGAGTAAGGTATTCTATTTCATCCTTAGTTAAAAATCATTGAAGGCGCCGAAATATTGTTATTAACTCAGTATGGATTCATTCAAGTTCGATGGACAAAGACGCTTCTAGAGGATTTTTCTGATATGCTGCACTCATCTTTTAAACGGAGTCAGGTTACCTGCGCACTGTTTTTGGACATCAGCAAAATATTTGACAGCGCATGCCATCAATGTTTTCCAATGAAACTTTCGGAATTACGATTTCGTAGCTCCTTTTTAGTACTCCTTGAAAACTTCCTAAGCGATCGACGACAGTGTGTCTCAATTTGGGGATTTTCAGAGCACATTTTCGTAAATCAAAGCTGGTGTACCGCAGCGATCCGTTCCGAGCCCAATATTTTTCAATATGTATGTTACTGACATCCACAACGCTGTGCCGGTTTCGTTGTTTCAATATGCTGGCGATACGGTTATTTTATCCAGAGCTACAAATTATTTAGTTGTAATCTCTTCTCTGCAAGCTGTTGGGATTAAAATTATGGACTCGTTTGCAGATAATTTAATAATTTTCAATGCTTCGAAAACGCAACACATTTGTTTTCATAGCCCCCTGAAACTTTAGGCCCAGCTATCCTTTACTGCTACATGCGTCCAATTGTTTATCGTGTGCTTGCGAACCGGTAAGGTATACATAAACTGTGAAGTATCGTGGTATTTTTTTCTGAGGACGATCTTTCTTGGAACTCCCACGTTGCTTGTATTCGTTAGAAGATTCGTTCAGTGTCTTGTTTGCTGTACAAAATTGGATACTATATGCCGTTATCAGTCCGAAACGTTATTATGCATGCTCTGGGCTACAGTGTACTTTCTTATGGCATCTCTGTGTACGGTCATTGTGCCCAAAGTTGGCAAACCAGTATTAACACAATTCTACGTTCTATGTTACATAACATTTCCTATGACTTAGGCCTTGATAAAAACATTGATGTGTTCGAGACTTTATCTCTGCCGAATTTTAACTCATTATTGATCGAAAATGTCGTGCATAGACATTTTTGGGCTAGCAGTTTTAAGACTCACTACGTCCCCGCCCGTAATCTCAGACTGAAAGAGCGATATTGGACACCCGGGTGTTTACAAGACATGGTAAAATAACCCTATTGTACTATGTCCCCGCATGCTTTAATAAACTCCTGTCGTGTGTTATTAATGCCTCAACAAGGTATAAAGTTAAGAAAGTGCTGAGAAACGTTAATGTATTACTCCCCCTAGTTGACTTTGGTTTTGGTTTTGATTTTTTTTCGTTTTTAACTTACGTACTCTATTTGTGTGTGCGTGTGGGGGTTTCTTTTTTCTGATGCCAGACGCTGCTAAACAAGCCCAATGAGGCTTTGGCAGGTGTTTTTGAATGTCTACTTTACATGCAATAAAAATTATTATTACTATTGAGAGAGAAGAAGAAGTCCAACAGGGCGGTCGTTCGCTTCAAGAGCTCTTCATATTTTCCCCTGTAAATAATACTTCTAAAGCATCCTTACGACGGGCAAGCTATTCATGCTGCTTATCAAGCACCGTGTCACTCCGGGGTCAGTCATTTCCCACGCCAAGGCCCCTATCATCTTGATCTGACCATCGACTTCACAGGCAAGCTTCCACCACATCCCTTGGCGTCACGCTCTACGGCAGTTCTCTCCGACTGGAGCTCTTCTTGTTGAAGCTTCACGCCCGAGCACCGTGAACCCGAGTTCGACCTGAGTGACAAGAATATATGGCGGTGAGAAGTACGGCAACAACCGTTCTGATTACGGCTGGCAGGATCTATGAGGACCGCAAGCCCGTTCCTTCAGGTATCACCTATTGATTCTCTGTGTCGTGCAGTTTCACGGGTGAGCAACTGCGCTCGAGCTCAGCACAAAACTGCCACGTGGAGTGTTCGTATACAACCTTGACTCATCTCGTTCTAAACTTGTTCGAGAAGTGCGTATTGACTGGTGTCTGTGTTGCCTTACCGCTGTGTACTCGCCTTCCCTAATAATGGATTGTGCCAAATGTGCTCGCGCTCTGCCGGCAGATGGCAGATCCCTGACGTGTGCATCTTGCCGAAGGGGTTACCATCTTGGTAAGTCCTGTTCCGGCGTCGCAGATGGGACGTACGCGGGGATGGGCGCTGTCAGGCGAGAAACTTGGAAGTGTTCCACTTGCCGTACCGGCACCACCCTCAGACCATCCGATCTTAGCGGTGACATTTCAGTAGATGAATTCTCCCGTACCGACGGCAGCAGGGAGGAGATTGCAGATTATGCACCCTTCACCAGTCAGCTGGCATCAATCAATGCCACTCTTAACCAGCTCCTTTCATTGAGGACAAGTGTGGAGACGCTGTTGCCTCTTCCATCTAAGGTTGATCAGTTGTTGGCCTTAAAACCAGCTGTCGAAGAGCTTCGCAACACGGTCCAAGGATTACAAACGACCGTTGACTCTTTTACCTTGAAGTACGATTCCGTGCTCGCTCTGGCTATGACAAATGAAGAGGCAGTTAAAGAAATTCAAAAGGAGGTTAACACGGTTAAGGCAACAATGAGAGAGCAGTCGGAGACCATTGAGAGACTGAAAGACGAGCTTAATGACATGCAACAATACAGCCGTCGTTCCAACATGGAACTGCATGGTTTTCCGCTCTCTCATGGTGAGGATCTAATGAAGGTCATAAGTGATCTCGCTAAGCCCCTTAACCTTCCAACACCTCAGTCGTCAGATATCCTGGCAATTCACCGTCTGACCAAAAAGCCGGACTCAGTTCCGGTTATTTTGATTCGCTTCGCCTCTGTCAGCCTAAAAGACGCTTGGATGGCGGCACGTGGTAGACTTCACAGGCTGTGCCAATCGGAAAACCAACCAAAGCTATTCTTCAACGACAACCTTACATCTGCGAATAAGGAGCTTTTTTGGCTGACGAGGACGGGGGCTAAAGTAAAAGGATACCGTTTTGTGTGGACCAAGAACTCTAAGATTTTTGCTAGGAAAGCCGAAGGCGCACCAGCCATTCGAATCAACACAAAAAACGACCTTCTGCTACTGGTGTAAAACATGACAACTTGTTTTTCTGTTCTAGACATTAGTTCATTTATTCAGCTTTTGGGCCCTCTTTCTAATAACTCTTTAACACTTATTCACGTAAATATTCGAAGTTTGCGTAAACACTGGGATGAGTTTCGTGCAGTAATTAATACCTTTACCGCGTCGATAGATGTTTTCCTTCTAACTGAAATTGGTGTGTCATCTTTGCAATGCAATCAATTTATTCTCGATGGATATAAGGAGTCATTTTACACCCGTGATCATGGTAGAGGTGGTGGGATTGCTATATACGTTAAAGATAAATGGTTACTATCGCCTCTGAGCATATCTCTTGTCCATGCAGAAACACTGGCTGTTGAAATTTCTTTGGCAGGTTTTCCTTTATTTTTGTTAGCGGTTTACAGGCCTCCCTCAGAAAATGTCTCGCTCTTTCTTGCTGAACTAGATGCTGTGCTTAACCAGTTTCGTACGGAAGGACAATTTTGCGTCATTGGCGATTTAAATATCGATACTCTTAAACCTAATAAGTCAATAGTTTTTGATTATCTGACTTTGCTCTCAAAATATGGCATTGAAAATATTATCACCTTACCCACAAGAGAAGAACTTTTGGTTCAAAAATTAGTAGTTTCCTGTATTGACCATATCAATATTCGTGCTCCGGATATGTCTGTAAAATCCGCCGTAATTACTCAGAAACTATCCGATCATTACTTTGTTGGATGTCGTTTAGACGCTCAGGCACCCGAAGAGCAAGGAACCAGGCGCGATTGTTCGTGGATTTCAATAACGGATACGGTACAATTCGATGCTTTGGTCGCCGCCTTTGACTGGAACGAACTCCTGGTGTCCATAGAACCTTCCAATGTTTATAAAGCTTTCGTCGAGGTATTTCAATCCTTTTATTGTGCCGCCAAGAAAAAGGTTAATTTCAAACGACGGTCTTATAAGCCATGGTTTAATTCTGATATTATGACTGCAATCAAAGAAAAAGATACGTTGTGGTCACGTTCCCGTCGTTCACCAAACAATTTGCAGTTAAAAGCAGAGTATCGAAGCGCTCGGAACAAAGCTAATGCAATTATACGGTCTGCCAAACGATGCTACTTTCAGCGAAGATTCTTTGAGGCAAGATCGAATCCACGTGAAACATGGAGGTTGATTAATTCTTTTACAGGGCGCGGAGAAAAGGCTTCGCTTCTCGACTCCCTCCAAAAACACTTCGGCACAGATCTGCAATCAGTAGTAAACGACTTTAACAAACTTTTTGCATCGTCATCGGGCTTTGCGCGAGACAGCGATTTCAAACCGCTTGCCTCGAGCGCAAGTATTAGCTTAGCAAACTCGGCGTTTCTTCCTCTTCTCACAATAGAAGAATTACACTCCATTTTGTTTTCTTTAAAACGCAATAAATCTCCTGGTGTTGATACAATTCGTATTAATGATCTCTGCCGAAACTTTGGACATGTTCAGCACGTACTTCTCACCATGATAAATCAGTTCTTGGTCTCTGGCGTCATTCCAATTGAACTCAAAACCGCACTTGTGAAGCCTGTTTTCAAGGGAGGATCGCCTAACAAGCCTGAGTGCTATCGCCCTATTTCTATATTACCTTGCATTGGAGAAATTTTGGAAAAGCATTTGTATCTTGTAATGTCCAGCTTCATTGAAACTCACATCCTGCCGCCTAACCAGTATGGTTTTGTTGCTGGAAAGGGCACTCAACCACTGCTGGAAGATTTTTCTGACCTACTACACAGTGCTTTTGATCGAAATTTATGTTCATGTGCAATCTTTCTTGATGTCGCCAAGGCCTTTGACACAATCAGTCATAAGATGCTTCTTTTTAAACTGCAGAATTACGGTTTCCGTGGACCATTTATTGCATTGCTTAAAAATTTCTTTCTTGACCGCTCCCAAATCGTATCCATAGGAAATTTCAAAAGTGCTCGGCTGATGCTAAAAGCCGGTGTGCCCCAGGGATCGGTTTTGTCTCCATTGTTATTTAATCTTTTTGTTAATGATATCTCAACAAGGCTCACTAGTTGCAAAATTTTTCAGTATGCGGATGATACTTTACTTGTCTCTAGTCACATTAATTACCGCCAAGCTGTGCGGTTATTGCAACATGATTCTGCACGTCTAATGGACTGGTTTTATGACAATTATATTACTATTAACACATCCAAAACCAGACTTGTTTGCTTCAGGAATCCGCTGAAGAGTGTAGAATTGGACTCATCATTTATGTTACACAAATCCAGTTGCCTTGATTGTACATGTAGCTCCCTGAAATATTTTGACACTGTTAAGTACTTAGGCATATTCTTTGATTCGGATTTGTCGTGGTCAACGCATTTAACCCATGTTTCTGGCAAGCTTCGCAGTGTGTGCTGCTTACTTTACAATAATAGGGTGTTTATGCCATTTGCCGTTAGAAAATCAATTGCTACTGCTCTTGCTTATAGTATACTAAGGTATGGCATCACATTATTTGGTAACTGTGCAGAAATATGGCAAACTAAAATTGACCGCATCCTTAGGAATTTGTTAAGAAGTGTTGGTTATCATTATGATCTTGCACCAGAAGCTGACATTTTTGAGGCTCTACAACTACCTAACTTCCATTCACTTTTTTTGCAATGTGTTGTTCTTTCTCATTTCTGGTGTAGCGAATTTAAACATCCCTTTGTGCCCCGCAGAGATTTGCGTACCTGTGATCGCTTCATAATCCCCCGGTGTTTCACCAGATATGGTAAGCGAGAGCGCTCTTATTATGTGCCATACATTTTTGACCGACTCCCCGACCACTTCTTTGAAGCTACAAATAGGAGAAAATTGAAAAATCTATTGAACAGTTTTACTCTTTAATTCATTGTACAATTTCAATAATGTATTGTTGTGTTATATGTTGTATCTAATATGTTTGCTGGGATATTGTGAGTGATTATTTTTTGTTTCTCACATAGTGCGATACATGTTTTAAATGTGTGCTCTACGGACTTCTTCTATGCTATCTGTGACATTCCATTTGCTGGGTTCTGTCCTTCAAGCCTCTACTGGCTTCGACCGACCCGTCACCTTATAGTGTTATGAAGGTATCTAAATAAATGAAATGAAAAAAAATGAAATTATTATTATATTAATATTATTATTATTATTATTATTAATCGAAATTATGCTAAAGGCTTCTATAATTTCGCTGTCAAACCTGTTACTGTGCCCTCCCAAGATCATCGTTTGCATGAAATCGGGAACACATCCACTCCACATTCGGGAATGAAAGACAATGAAGTGAAAAGAGTCTGCCGAAGCTTTTGAAAGTTTCAGGTGGTGCTCGCGGAGTCGGTGTGTGATGCACCTGGCCGTTTGTCCTATGTATTGCTTTCCACACATCAAAGGAACAGAACAAACCTTCTGTTATTTGCATGGGATGAACTTCTTGCCATGCGTGATGTATATGATTGAGGCTTCACGCTCTAGTTCACTTTGTTGCAAAGTTGTTTTAGGCGCATCCGGCAGGAAAATACTACATTGATGTCGTACCTAGAGGCGATGGCTTTTAGTCGATGCGCTGAATGACGAACGTATGGAATAACTGCAAAACGATCCCGCTTTTTGCCTCTGGTTGTATTTTCTTGCTGGTGACAGCCAAGAAAGAATCTCTGCAGGGTGGCTTTCAGAAGATCCGCTGGAAACCCGCCTTGGTAAGCCTCTCATGCAAAGAACAGAAAGTTTATTTTGTTGCTTTGGGGTGTTGAAAGCAACACGTAGGACAAACGGGCAGGCGCATCAACCACCGACTCCGCGAGCACCACCTGGAAGTTTCAAAAGCTTCGGTAGATTTTTTCACGCCATTGTCATTCATTCCCGCATGTGCAATGGCTGTGCTCCAAATTTCAAGCAAACGATGATTTTGGGAACGCACAGTGACAGGTTTGGTAGAGAAATTATAGAAGCCTTCAGATTTAATTCAGTTGATAACAATATTTCGGCGCCTTAAATCATTTTAACTAAAGATGAAATAGAATACCTTGCTCCGGAATGGGCGCAATTCTATTTCAACTTCCATAAAAGAAAAAAAAAAACTGTCACACCTTTCCGTCCCCGCTTACCTGTATTTACTATATTTACCATATAATTTTGTTGTTTTCTCTTTCTTTTCTTTTTTCTGGGCAGGAGTGGACTCAAAAATACTTCGCTAGGAGATTCATTGCATCTGTCGCGAGTTAAAAGAAGAAGACGTCGTCCCTTTGTTTTAAGTGTCTTATTCTTCCTGTCGTCTTTGTTCAACACCAACACGCTCCCAAGTTAACATACGCAGGGACGGCCTTTTTTTCAGCGGCGAACGGCCGCTCGCGTGGCCAATTGCCCTTGGCCCCCTCCCGGTGTAAATGACCTCTGACAATTTGGTAGGCGGACAACCTGGGCCAATTTTTTTGGTCCCCAGATTGTTCACGTACTCTATGATTATTCTGCCAATTTAAACTTGACTAGGTTAGATATTGGCACTTGTAACTTCCAACAATAATTAATATATGATATGCGTTAGAGAGGCGTAGTTATGAGTCGCGACGTTATATTCATTGTGACCTCTTTAAAACGGTGACACATATCCTCAAAAATTTACCAAATTAACACAATATACTCTTCTCTATTGCGTAAATCCCAAAGATGATCCCCAAAAGAGTTACCTTCACCCAACAAGCCTAGCGACTGTAACAAAACGAAACGTATCCTCTCTGCTC